AAATATTTTGCGCAGTCAAGGTTCTTGCTGATCCATTAGAAGCTTGGACGCCCGCTGGGACCTTTATTGAATTTTGGGACCCCCGTGGGGGCGTATAGACAGGAGACTCAAAGGAGGCGTTTATTGACTTTATAATGTAATAAAAGTTGCAAGCTCAACAAAGTTTTAAAGAGAATTTATCAAGAGAATTTAAAAATGGTGGAATTTTTGTGTCCATCAATTTTACGTCTAGGGCCGTATACATAGCGATGTATATCAGGAGATCGTTCGAATCTTTACATCGATGTCAGAATCCTGGCTTCGGGTTATTGTGTTTGTCATCGTTAGTAAATCCTTACCCTGAATTTAACACAGAACAAGCAAAATGCAATGCGCAGACGAGGTTGCCTATTTACCGAGTCAGGATTTCGAGTTGGGTTTCCAGTTGGATTTTCGAGTTGGATTTTCGAGTTAGGATATTTTTGGCGGGATTTTTTGGCGAGGTTTCCAATAAATTTTCAGTGGTTTTACACAACGTACTCTGTCAGCGGTGTTGCACATCGTCTTGAGGTCTTTTCAAGATGGAGGAGAACGAGGATGGCAGACCGGTAACGGCAATCTTGTTTAATCTATCCCAGTATTGCATTCGTAATTATATTTTTGACTGGACAGAATGGCTTACACTTCAATGAATGCTTTTATTTATGAATTATTCGTTAATTGTCGAGTGTCGGCCGGATGTAAACCATTACAATCTTTCGTAAAATAATGTTTGATTTCAAGAGAATTATACACCAGAAAAACCTACATGTGATCCCAGAAATGTTACCTGGTTATAATTTTGTTTTCAGAAGCACATGATATATCCAGGGCCGGGTGGAAGTGCCAATTATAGAAATATATAGTATATAAATATAGAAGTCAATTTCACGAGGTGCAAATTATCTAAGGCCCAACGTAACTGGTTTTTTAATACTGCAAGTGCGGTGCAAATATCTTTCTTTAGTAAAATCCAACTTTAGTGGTCTATTATCAATGCTGCGTTCTGATTGGTTGAGCTACTATAGCTACTAGGCTAAAATGTTATAGCCCACTAGTAGCGAAAAGCGCCGGCTTTGAAAACCAAAACAATGGCGGCTGAATAGCGTTTTGCTAGTTAAAGTTGTTTTGTCTCGATATTTTTGACCACCTAGTTGGATTTTACTAAAACAATTATTCCTCTCGCCCTCATGGCCCCTGAGTCAATAGCCCATGACCCCCCTGTATAACTCATGTATTTCGGGCTGATAGTCCGCTTGTTTCTACAGTAATCTGGTGCTTAATGCAGTTACAAAAAAACTCCATACCTAGACAAAACGAATGATGATACCGAGTCTGGATGAAAAAGAAGTTTCAACACCTGTGTAATTTATCATTTACTTGGGAAAACTGGAGGGGCTGGACATTCCGCTTGTTTGTGTCATTCCAACCTTCAGAGAAGATTTAAGACGAAGTAATTTTTGTACTCTTTTCAGTCTGTTCAGCCGATTTGGATATAATTTGTAGCGGATCGTTCTCAAACTACGTGAAATTTTATTTACCATTTTCACCGAGACCATAATTATACACCTCGTTTGACCCCCGACCCCCCCCCTCCCCCATTTCTCATCACCATTGTTTCCAATTTTCTCACCTCTTAATAGAGTCGTCCCAAGAGAAGTCGAAGAAAAGGGTTGTACCAAATTTGGGGGTGTAAACAAGGTACGTTATGGTCTCGGTGAAAATTTTCAATAGTTTTATATCTATGCACCAGATTTCCACCTGGGTGGTTTGTGTAGATGGTAAGCATCTCTCAGTTTCCAAAGATTGTTTACTAACTATGCAATACAACAGACGCGCTGATCAGACATAACAACTCAGGTTTGATTGATATTCTTATTAGTCTGGCTGCCAGAAGCGACACACACAATTGAAAAGAAATTCATAGATAATTAATATTTAATATTATCGCTTTAGAAAAAGACTCAATATTTTACAGTGTTTGTCAGGTTCCTCAATTTCACGGAGTTCTCCAACAGTCTCTCCCCACTAATCGGCGATGTTCTCTTTTTACTTTTGCTCGTTTTCCCTCATTCCGTTGTTTTCTGTGATACCTAATGCGGCTTCTGCTCAAATGGAAGGTTAGTTTTCTTTTATTTATATAGAAGGACATAGACTGACATGACTTCTTGTGCTTTGTATGTAACATATGACTTTCCTTGGTAACTAAAAATTCCGGTGAGTGCGTTAAAGAGATTGTATAAGAGCTCCGATCTAAGTGAGGACTGTGGATGTAAACTATGTTTTCTTTTAAAGACACCATGGTTAAAATGCAAAGACGCTTCTGCCCTTGGAAATGAAAATAGCACTAGTCACTCGGGGGGAAAACTTGCCAAACAATTTGGTTTGGTCATCGTTAAAAATTGTCTCTCCATTCACGACTCAGACTCAGTAGTGAGAAAATTAAGAAGTGGAAAAAAATTGTTATGGTCATCGTGAGACGATTGTCTTCCCCTAGCTAGTTCTTTATTAAACAGCTTAAGTACTGAAACTTCTAGCAGAGACATTTTTTAAGTGTCAAGAGCTGCAGACGGGCTACATGGGTTTCCATTCCTTACCAAAACCACCCCACCCCTCCATTGCTAGGCAGGCTTGTTACGCCAGCTGGTACCTAAAACAAACGACTCCACGGCTGATTGCTTAAACCACGATGGGTAAATTGAGGTTGCAAAAAAGGACATTTCTTAATCCAGCCTACTTTAAATGAGTGACAGTGCTCATAACCTAAAAAAAATATTTTCAACTGAAAGTATACATTTGTTGTGGAGTATTTTGAAAGTTATTTTTAGACAGATCTATCTTATCTTTTAAGGTGGCTCGATACAGTTTTTCAGGGTCAATACCTCCCACGTTTGAGCGTAAACTACGTCGCCATAAACAAAGATTTGGAAAAATTGACACCACGGTTGTATTAGATAAAGATGAAAATTTGTTATGATCAGGGTTGCAATGACATCGGAGTTGTCATAGCAACGAAATGACGCCATTACCTATTTTGCTTTCAGCATGATTTCTCGGCACTGGGAACTGTTCTTCCAAAATCGTTTACTGGAACTTTTTCCTACAACAGCCGCCTCGATGTTCCTGAAGTTTAAGCGAAATCTGTAAGAGCGTTATCGAGATATTTTGGGAACAAGTTTTTATGGTTAGAAATACGGTAAAAAATGGACAATCTTCATGTTCGACTGTTATCTGTACTAAACGAAGCGCTTTTGACATGCAATTTCACCTCATAGTAGTTTCAATCTTTTTAAAAACGTGTGTGAAAGATCATTGAGATACCTTCAGCCGATTGCTAGAAAGAAGGATTTGATTAGTATGTATCGGGGCGCTCTTGTTAGCGGTAATGTAAACATTTCGATCTACTTTAACAAATTAGCGAATAATTTTTAAACCGCTCGATCATTTTTTTTTTTAAATTTAAGAGTCTTGAGATAAACCGTCCTTTTATATGACCTCTTAGTTTCAAGGTTATTGATATATTGTAAGGTAGTAAAATAAGGGCTTGAATTCGCTAACATTTTGTCAGAAATTTTGTGTTTACAAGTGAGAGCCTCTTATTATTCGGCGGTATTGTCTCAAAGTTTCATTTTCACGTGAACAGCAGTAACTTACAATGCATTTGACATATGCAAAAATACTAGGTATTGTTGTGCACGAAAATATGAAACTTGGAGACAATAACCTTGAATAATGAGAGGCTCTCACTTGTAAACACAAAATGTCTGACAAAATATTAGCGAATTCAAGCCCTTATTTCACTGCCTTACAATATATCAATAATCTTGAAACTAAGAGGTCATATAAAAGGACGGTTAATCTCAAGATTCTTAAATTTTCTAAAAAATTTATCGAGCGATTTAAAAATTATTCGCTAATTTGTTAAAGTAGACCGAAATGTCTACATTACCGCTAACAAGAGCGCCTTGATACATACTAATCAAATCCTTCTTTCTAGCAATCGGCTGGAGGTATCTCAATGATCTTTCACACAAGTTTTTAAAAAGATTGAAACTACTATGAGGTGAAATTGCATGCCAAAAGCGCTTCGTTTAGTACAGATAACAGTCGAACATCAAGATTGTCCATTTTTTACCGTATTTCTAACCATAAAAACTTGTTCCCAAAATATCTCGATAACGCTCTTACAGATTTCGCTTAAACTTCACGAACGTCGAGGCGGCTGTTGTAGGAAAAAGTTCCAGTAAACGATTTTGGAAGAACAGTTCCCAGTGCTGAGAAATCATGCTGCAAGTAAAATAGGTAATGGCGTCATTTCGTTGCTATGACAACTCCGATGTCATTGCAACCCTGATCATAACAAATTTTCATCTTAATCTAATACAACTGAGGTGTCAATTTTTCCAAATCTTTGTTTATGGCGACGTAGTTTACGCTCAAACTTGGGAGGTATTGACCTTGAAAAACTATATCGAGCCACCTTAAGTTTAGTTTTTGATCTTTTGTTTTTACTTGTACTTTATTTAATTCACGCTTAGCTCGTGAATTTTTTTCAGTTACCATATTCGGAATGTTATTCGCTTGGCATTCTCAGATGTTAGTTTTTTACAGGTGGTCGTGCTTGTGGTGTTAGAGCTGACCTTCGTTCTTTAGTACTTATCAGTTGCGACTGTGCGTAGGCTAATCTATTCCCTAACAATAGGAAACCTGTTGCAATGTTAGCGATACGATATACAGACATGTCCAGTTTTGGCTATTAAAACTGCTACTATACTTGAACTAGATGACAAAATCAGAGATCCGAGACAAACAAATATGTCTCCTGAGCATTATTTTTGAAGTTGCAAGCAGCAGGGATCAACTTTGAAAAACTGTTAGGCTGAACAGTTTTCAAAATCCCTAATTTCAATCCGTTTCAACCTTCTTCAGTTTTGCCCATCCGTGGCATCTGTTGTTTCTGTTGGGTTATTTTAACCTTGCTTTAAAGTTTTAAGAGGCTATTTTTATGTTTCTCTCAATTTAACGGGCATTTTGTAATTTCCTAATTTGGCTGAATTTCGTGACACAGCTCCTTTAAAATGAGAGATTATATGGACAGGCGGGTTAACCCACCTATGCGGTTTACCTCACCTTACTGGGGTCCCCCACCTCCATGTAAACAGGCCCTAAGAATTGTGCCCCAAAGTGTGATGCACGTGCGGAGCTGTTATTTTTTCATTACACAAATTGTTTTCAGACGTTCGATCGTTGCCGCCATCGTCTATAGGCTGCTTCAAACTTAATAAATCTTAATCAGTTTTAAAGCTCACAAAAAGTATGATTTATAGAACTACATGACTTTAAACAGTCCGGGCCACAACCAGATCTGGATATGTAATTTCCTGCAATGTGATTGGTCCAGAATGCAACCAACACATTGATTTGACCGCGAAAGGACTAAGTTCGACAGAAATGTCGCAGCAAAGAGCGCTATGGCTGGGATGTTCCTTGAAGAAAATGAACAGCATGTACTACCACACCGATTAATCGAGATGATTTTATGTGTCTTAGCGTTCGATTTACAAATATCAAGATGATAATGATCGAGGAAGGTTTCTGTAAAAACGCCTGGACTTCTGATATCAAGAGGCCCGAAGCAACTGGACGACACGGATCGAAAGGGAAGAGTAGGCAATTTGAATACTTGAAATACTGATACATTTTAAGTGAAAAGGTATAAAGAAGTCGTGTTTGGAGTACTTTTTGCGAGCACTGCTTCGGCCTAGAGTAGTATGCTTTATGCTTCTTCGGGAGCAATTGCAAGTTTTCAGTGTCACGCCATTCAAAATAGATCAAAATAAAAATCAAAACCATTCGACAGATAAAGCCCAGAATCTGGGAAGTGAAAGGAGGTAAATATACAAAGACCCTCGCCAAGATTTGGGTCGAAGGAATAATTCGTATACGAGATATCCGAGGAAATGTTTTACCCAAATTTATAGAGCTTTGTATGGAGACGACATGCTGGAGCTCATCCGGATGAGCTCCAACACGGCGGACGGAAACCAAGAGAAACATCTGTTGCCGAGTTTTGCTACAAAAGCGTGAATTTACTCCTAGAGGAACTCATAAACATTAAAGTAATACTCTTTCTAATACTTGAACTGTTTAGATAGCAAAATTCCTCGAAAAAAGTTACTTTTTTAACCTAAATGACAGCTCTCTCGGCCGTAATGTAAATGCTGGGTCACGCAAAAGCTTAGAAATTCAAGCGTACTCTATTACAAAACCAAGAACCCTTTTGAAGCGAAAATTTGTTTGAAAATTAGTTTTCAGCTGCTCTAATACACCATGAAAGTAAAATCTCAGTAGGATCGATAGTTTTGTATTTTGAATTTTAGTGACGTCATGTGAAAACCAACAATACCATACGCGCTAAAATCTAATTGCGATCGAAGGAGTGCTGGATATCAATTTTCAATATTTCAATCGTCAAACATCTTGGATTAATATGCGAAGGTAAAAAAAATAAATAAAATTTCTGTAAATTGCACTCACGAAGGGTCGTAAACAGTCCTGAATCAATGTCTGTCTTTTCGTGGTGCAAAACCCCATTGCGGATGAAAATATTAAAATACCATTCACAGTTCAGAGGAGGACTTTATCGTGTTCTAATAGCATTAAAGTGGGGTGGTAGGCCTACACGAATTTTAACTCATGCCAAAATGCTGCTCGTTTCAATGAAGTTTTTTTCCTCTGCTGGGTAGATTATGATCTGGAAGATTGTACATTTTCACTGAGATTTTAGCCGCTTGTTGCACACTGAGAGGTCATGGCACACACATCGATTTACTGTGGTTTTTGTATCTGGTCTGAAGGATTTTCCCTCTAATGCAAGAGCATTTTCTGTGACCTCAGTTTTTGAAGCGTAAAGCATTTTATTACGGCTGAATAAGGGTTTTAATTTTCTCCAAAGTACCTTCTGGATCTCAATAACTAAGCGATTTTTGTTAGTCCGTGAATGTAAATAAAAATGTTGTTGTTTTTTTTTTTTTGCAGTGTTGTATCACGCTGGGCCCAGCTCATGAGTTTTCATTGCAGGATGTTAAATTATCACGGATAGTGATTTAGAGATACAAAATTATAAGAATTAAGTGCAGCTTTAATTGAAGCTGCATCAAATATGGAGAAATGCATTGTGACTCAGTAGACTCCAGCTTGGTGTTTTTCTATAAATGCGAGTCTTCTGACTGGAGCGCGTATTCCCATCCTTGACAATAGCTTTTGAATAAGCTTAACAGTGTTTGAACTGTTTTGTTATTGCCACTTTGTGATCAGGCAAGACCATGGTTACGGTTCTTCACGAACAAACTGGCGGCATCTTTTTGCCACTAAAACAAGGTGCTTTTGCTTTTCCATCCGACTGCAAGATAACATAAAATAAACATTGCGTTACAATGAAAAGCAGCAGCACGTGAACGGTGCAACTGACTGTTGCTTCTTCCAAAGCACAGCACTATTTGAATTCGCTATGCACTACACCAAAAAGACCACCACCAACAGGCAAATTTTATGTAGATTTCAAAAACCTTTTTTTCAAGGATCAGAAAATTGAAACTCACCTTCTTTTTTAGATGTTTTGCGCCTTGTCCGGCATTTCTTTGAGCTGAAAAACTCTCGTGTTCGGTCGTTTTGCCTCCCAAGAACGCACAAACGTTAATCGGACGGCATTTTTTCTTCACACCCCTGATTTCTCGCTGCTAAAGTCACAGCTCTCAAAGTAGTATGGGGAAAAGACACTTATAGGTGCAGCAAAGAGCCTGGAAGTGACCTTCCCCTGTGTTTCTCGGCGAGGGCGACATTTTGCAAATGTGGATGACGTCATCATATATCCAGATCTGGTAGTGGCCCGGACTGTTAAAAGTCATAAATATCAAGTACCTAAGAACTGCCAGAAAAATACTTAATTCCATCAGAAAATAATTCGCTATTTTTCTTCCCCTGACCTCTTTACTTTAGCTACGTTTTTGAGTTTCAGCTCACTTAATGCGTTCCACTTTAAAAGCCATTCTTAAAGCCAGGAACTCCCTAAATTAAGAGATTTCTAATATGCACGACCCATGCATTCTAAAAACGTAAATTAAACCCTTCATTCTTTCTCTTCAGAATTTACCACCATGTATCATCACAGTCTTCGTCAAGATGTTTTTATAAAGGACGAGTACCATTATTTAAACGTTTCTAAAGTTGGAACGTTTACAGTGTATGACAGCCTTGACTGCACCTTTGAATGCCTCGGCAATCCTTCCTGTCTGTCCTTCAACCTGGCAGCTTCCAAAGGAGCAGATGGAAAGTTGCGGTGTGAGTTGTTATCCTCAGAAAAGTACAGCAGTCCTGAGGAATATAAAAGGAACGAGAGTTTTCATCACTTTTCCATCAAGGTGGAGTAAAATCTTTGCATAGAGTTTATTAAAGTAAGATATTTTTTGATATCCCAGTCTATGCGACTTTTAATAACCTGTCACGAACACTAATCGACGTAGAAGTGACTACTGCACGTAACAAGTCGGGGTTATTCAGTCGAATGTCACTTTCTCCTTTTTTTTTCTTACTTCTGCCATCAACACTTTTACGCAAAACGAAATTACCTTAATTATATGGCATTTGACATCAACCTTTTCTTAAACTATTTCAGACTCCATGTATGTCATCACCTTGTCAGAACGGAGGCACCTGTGTAGCGAACTATAAGTATCACTCGTTCGACTGCCGTTGCAAAGAAGGGTTCTATGGAGAATTTTGCGAAGAAGGTAATTGATATTCAGACCGGGACCCCCGTTCAAGTTAGGACAACCAAACTTAGCGGCTTTACCTAAAATTTATCTTGGAAAATTTTAAAGGCGTTGTGACGTGTACGTCAACATTGATGTTACCATGGTAACCGAGTTTTGACAGCCATGGTTTTCAGAATTTGCTTTTTCTCTTAACAAAATAGGTTTAAATTCATTTCTTTTTTAACTGATTGATTTATTAGGTTATCTACTTCTTTTTTACAGTTGCCAAGTCCTCATGCCAAGATGTTTATAATCAGCTCACAGAAAAGTGGGTAAACCTATGCATAGTAATTTAATTGATGAGGATAGATCACTTAAAGTCCGGGGGATCATTCGGAGTGCGTCAGTACTGTGTTTATAAGCCAAAAATCAGCCGTCAGGCCTCAAAAACGGAATACAATTGTGTTGCAGGGAAAGTCGATATCACTTAATTAATTGTACATGTTAGAATTCGTATCGTGGCTGATGAATTCTATTTCAGCCTTTGTTCTCCACTCTAAAAAAACTTAGGGTTATTAGAGACCTAAACTTGTAAAAACTGTTGAATTTTTAAAACAAATGATTGGTACTGTTAAGATAATAAAAACCATAATCTGTGAACACCACCATCCTGCAATGAAGGCCCTCCAGCAAAAAAAGTTGTTGATGAAATGCGGTTGAACCCCGCCGTTTCGTTTAATACGAACACCCGTATAAAACGAATGGTTCGTTTGTACCGACAAAAGTTCAGATATTTCAGTGCTCATAAGTAAACCTGGTTAATATGGAAAACAAACACTTTTCTTGTGTCCCGAGTCCCAAACTGTCATATAATAATTATCGTAAACTCCCCCGAAAGGTCCTCAATTAAGTTTTATAGGGCAAGCTTAGCCCTGGGTCTAACTCCTTACGTTTTATGCCCATCATTTTTGCAGAAAAGGTACTCCTTTCGTATACCATTCCATTCGTCTCTAATGGTTAAAGGTTCGAGTGGCTTGTTGCAGGCACTTCATCCCCAGGGGGTACTCAACAAATTTTTACGGTGATAATCCCTGCCCCGAGGTCCACGTCCTTACCTTTTCACATCCCTTTTGGCGGTTGAGGGGTGGAGTGGCTTGTTACAGGCACTTTATCCCCAGGGGTTACTCAACAAATTTTTACGGTGATAATCCCTGCCCCGAGGTCCACGTCCTTACCTTTTCACATACCTTTTGTCGGTTGAGGGGTGGAGTGGCTTGTTACAGGCACTTTATCCCCAGGGGGTACTCAACAAATTTTTACGGTGATAATCCCTGCCCCAAGGTCCACGTCCTTACCTTTTCACATACCTTTTGGCGATTGAGGGGTGGAGTGGCTTGTTACAGGCATTTTAAAATGAGCTCAGACCATACAAGGGCCAATGTGAAGAAAGACTGCCTTATCAAAATCAAACTTGCACGCTATTTTAATTGGAGTTTCTTTTTTTTTTAGTAACAAAATCGTATTAACCCACAGAAATCTGTAATTATTTGAAAAAGGTTCATTGTATGCAATTAGTGCGTGGTTGTGACAAGGAAATAGACAGTGGCAGCTATAGGTAGCCAGTGGTCACCAGTGTCCATAAAGCGGGGTTGACGACATGAGATTTTAAGTCTTCGGAACACAGAAAAGTGTCCGTTCTCCGTCTCAACCGTTGTCCTTATTAAACGGGTTGGAGAAAGTACGTGAGCTTCAATAATTAAAACATGCAAAACTGACTACTGAATATCTGTGTAACATGTTCTGAGTAGTTGTCAAGAAAAACCAATCCAAGTCTTACATGTAGCTCGCGGGTAAAACAGGGGTCCTTTGCCGTCAGATGGGAAAAACATCATGCGCACCATTTTCGCGGTTTTTCGGTCGCCCCTTTCGCCTTCCCTCTGAACATCTGCTACGCTGTTTAGCCATCTTCGATGTCCGAATTTAATTGCTACAGAACACTTTAGTCAAATACACTTTATTAAAGTTAGGTGAAGAGCAGCACAGCTTGGTATTATAATACAAAAATAAATATCAACCTGTGCTTGAGGTGAAATTATATCAGTCCAAAGTACATTTATCGTGTAGTAGCTCCTAGTAACATGATGGGGAACCTGACAAATTTAGATTTGACTGAGATTGTACTGAATTCCATTCATTTATTTTTGTAAGAAAAAGAGAACCTTTTTTTTTTTACAACCAGTTAAGGTACATTCCATTTTTTTCTCTCCGACAGTTGGGAGCTGGAAAAATTAAAATGAGATTTCATTTTGTACAGGTTGAACGTGAGTCGGTTGGTCACTCTCCTCCTTGACTCCAAACTAGTTTCAGTTCTCTGTCACTTTGGAAATTTTGGATGCGGAGATGGAGGATGGACACCGGTCATGAAGATGGACGGCAACAAGGTAAGACATTTGTTTACGTTTTCCCTTAGTTTGGCGACGACAGTGGAAAAAAAAAATGTGTTATTCATAATTAAATACAGGTTTGCCTCTGTCAGAGGTAATTTTCAATTATCCAAGCCTGTGAATACAGCCGTTTCTCCTTGCTCCTCGTCGCTAGGGACGTTTCATCAGGAGGAACGTTTGCACCTCAGCGACAGAAATTCCATACTAATGACGTAAACTTGTAAAATTTTCTGGGGGAGCATAATCCCAGCCTCCGAGTTTGAAGCTCCTTCGGCGCTCTAACTTTTCTTCTCGTTGGTACATGCCAAGTCCCTGGATCTGAAAGATTTAAGTATTAAGAACACCTTTAAGCTTCTGGAATGTCTCGGTCAGTAACAGAGGTCATCCGACCTTCCTGTCAGACGATGTGAAGGTTTTCATCAAAAGACGGAAGCCTGGTCTCTGTATTTGCGAATTAGCGAGAGTTAAAGATAATTATATTCAGTTCGGCATTTTTCAATCGCATCAATAATTAAAGAGTGCAGTATTTGTTTACTTTTTATTCTATCGGTGACCATTAACGTCATTTTGCGTGCTGTGGCTAAATTGTCATTTTATAAAGCTGGAGAAGTGAGGACATTGCAGATATTCTTTTCATTTTAATGGATCTTTCATTCTTTCTTTTTTCTTCTCCTGAAAGGATGTTATCTTTAGAAGAAAAAAGAAGCTTAAATTTCAACTTTTCTTTTTAAAGGACATTTTTGCTATTTCTTCCTCCTTTCTACCACAGCAAACATTTCATTACGAAACAGCCTTTTGGAGAAACAAAGAAACCTTTCACCCTGACGGAGGGAAAACTGGGTTTGACTCACAGGAAACCAAACTTCCCTCCTACTGGAACACATCCTTCTCCAAGATCTGCCTGGGTATGAAGATCAACAACCAGACCAATTTTATTGTCATTAACAAGCAGGCGAACTCCTTGTACTCTCTGATCGCTGATGGGCAATATCGCAGCACCTCACTGGGTCGTGACAAGTGGATGTCACTGATTGGTTCTAATGCCTCATTGCAGCTGAACTGTAAAAAGGAAGGGTTCAACGCAAAGTGTACCTTGAGTGGCCGTTCCAAAGCAAGAATCGGTATTCTCGGCAACGATCAAACAGATTGCCATGAATGTAACTCCAGATTGGGGTTTGGGAGTGAAGGGAACTACGATGATAGGCGGAATACATGTGGAAATTTGGATAACCACAAAGGAAAAAGACTAAGCATCAAGACAATGGGGTATATCCTGGTGCAGTGATAACAATGCTCCTTTACATGTCTTTGAGCGAGTAGTGAGAATATGTTATACCCGAAGCATATAAGCCCGATTCGGGTTATATGCTTCTGGTTCTTCACAGTCCTTTTAACGATACCTCATCGTTACGATGATGAGTAGAAATAAGTTTAGTTATAGACAAACATTATACACGTCTAGACCTAACGTTTTTTTCTGTCGAGGAATGTGAACAGACAACCAGTGGGGATCATGTTTGTAATGTTTGTCCAAGAATGTTAAAGAGCGGTTCTTGGTGTGTATAAAAGTAGAAGTGCTCGGATAATTTGTTCTCCTATTCCTTGCCATTGAAACCTGTGGAATTGAAGAAACGTTTTTAACAAGAACTTAAATCTAAACGTTTCTCAATGTAAGAAAGCTACTTAAAAACGAAGAAATATATAATAATAAACTAATATAATAAACTTTATTTCTCAAACTGCGATCATATCCAGTGGTTGCACAAAAGACTGAATCAGATTTAAGGCAGCCAACCGGTCTGAGGGAGGCACTTTAGGACTGAGACTGTTGCTACACACAGACAGTCCGTTGGGAAGACCGATGTGTGATGGGTTGAAAGTGATAAAAGAGGCAGTGGCGATTCCCACCAACAAAGACACGTCCCCTACACTTTTCCAATAGTAATGTAGGTTGTTTAACCTCACCTTCAAATTTTAAAATACCGTATTTCCTCGAATAATAGCCGTCCCTCGATTAATCGCACCCCTCGAATCAATTACGCCTCTTAGACGGAAATATTGAAGACAGGCTCCTCCCTCGAATATACGCCCACTCTCCACCTCTCTCGCCATCTTCTCTTTCTGTTATACCCTCCCGGTCAACTTGAAGTGGCGTCTGATCCAGCAGAATGATCAGTGACAATTCAATTAAGTTCTGATACCGAGGATATTGACACTGAAAATTAATCAAGGAACCAAATTTGGAACACTTAAAAAGACCATGTTCAGTTTTTCTGATGTGATCATTTTTCGATTTAACGGGATAATAAAACAAAAGGACACGACTTCCAAAATGTTGAATCTTCGCCTCCCTCGAACAATCGCCTTGCCTCCTCGAATAATCACCCCCGGCTATTATTCGAGGAATTATGATAAATGAGGGAGGGTGAAAATTAATGAGACGAGGCAAACGGCTTAATGACACCGCCAAATAATGCTGTCATCTAACCTAAGTCATGGTCACTATACACGGCCAGCATTATCTTGCCAGCATTTTGCTTATTATTAGCAAATCTGAGCTAACAGGCCGAGAAGTGGTTACATGCGTGCATACAAGACAGCGAAGGAGGAAAGACGTGGGCGAGCGAGGAGCACCAGACGCGCGCGTGTCTCGCGCCACTCGCACGAAAAACGCGAAAAACCAGTACCTGTTCTACAGGCTGATAATAAGAAAACAGGAAGAGGTACTGAGATTTTAGAAAAGAACAGGGACAGGGCGCTTTCTTTATAATGGGCTCGTGTTTGTAGCACCACTTCACAACCTTTGGAGATGTAGATGGATTCTGACAACAGTAATAAGCGGTATACAAAAATAATGATACACGACGCAGGCGTAGTATAGAGTGTTTTCACTAACGTGGCCAGCATCTATGCAAATTTATTAGAACAAAAGAAAGCGTTTGCATAAGAAAAGAGTTCAACTCCCACAGGACTGGTTTGGGACACCAACATGGCCGCCGTTTCATTGTTTTGGGACACCAATATGGCCGCCGTGACGTCATGTGAAAATATTCTATAGTAGGTAAGGAGCATAAGCAAAAACGACGGCGACGGCTACGAGAACGCCACTTAAAAAGTGAATTCGCTCTGCCTCGAACGTTTTCGTGCTCATTCCATCTCGTTTTATTCCTTAAATGGTGGCAAATTGTTTTTGGAGTTGAATTCTGAAGGACTGTATCAAAGTTCAGGAAAAGAAGAAAAGAAAGTTGTTGTCTTGTGTCCCCGTCTCGACAAAAGGTGAAGTTAGGCACTTTCACGTTATGGTCGTGTAACAAGGTGCAAAGTTGTTGTTTTGCCAATCTAAACCTATTGCTTTTTTGCCTTTCTCGTTGCCGTGGCCGTCTTCGTTGCTTAACAGGCTTAAGCTCCCTAATGATGACTGCTTTTGTTTTTCGTTTTTGTAGAAATCAGAAAAAAAAGTGTGACAGTAATCAAGATCTGTAAGGGAACGGGGAGGGGGATCCTGCAGTCCCACATTCCCACTTCCGAGTTTTTTTACGAAAATACCGCATCTCGCCATTTTTTCATCGCTTTTCCAAATCTCCTTGGTTGTTTCCAAAAAAACAATGCTTTAAGTAAGAATAATTGTTGCATTAGGCATCAAGTCGTTAACTGGCATGGTATGCTATTGCGCCACGCGCACTTCCCTAAGACCTTGCAACCATAAGACTCGCTATCATGCTGAATTTATATTAATAAATCGAAAGTGGCTAATTGAAACAATGGGTTTCCTGTTCGCGTTTGACTTTTTTTTTTAGTTTCAATTAGGAAATAATTAACCATTGGAAACCATGCACAACCTACAGATTAGTTAGTTAATTTTATCTGCTAATCTACCACCCAGTGCTAGCAGATAACTAGTACTTTGCCTTGATTTCCAAAATTAACTGTAGTGTCTTAAGCTTGGCCAAGGAGCAAATAGACGGTAAGTATAATGTCTAATAATTCAATTAAACAAAACAGGGTTAAAGATCCCAACTGGCCGGCAAACCAGTTGGCTATTTACAAGCGTTATCGAGGATTAGAACTAGGCCACCGACAACGAGAATCCATCTAGAAATACTGTTGTTTCCAAGACAAAAAACAGTTTTCCAAATTCTTAAAAATAATGGTAATTGTATTTTTTGCTGCGCAATATTGCACAGTCTTTCATTCTGGAAATTTTCGCTGAAATGATTCGAACCATTTCTACGTTCAAAAACTCATAAGTAATTCATAGCGAAAAACAAAAGAAATTTTATGTTTAACGAGTGTCTTTATATTCGATAAAGATGCGGTTAAACTGTACATCCAAGTTTTTATAAGACCAAAATAACCCCAAATCTACGTATCAGTGCAAGAATCAGTTGATATATATCAGAGATTTTGAAGCCGTTCAAAAACCTCGCGGGAGTGTCTTATCAGGTGTAAAAACTCTCGGCTTCGCATCGAGTTTTTAAACCTGATAATACACTCCTGCTCGTTTTTTAAACAGTACGTAAAACCGTCAAGTTAACCCAAGCGATTTAATTCAACGATATGGTTCATTTTTAATAAACATTTAAAAATCAACTGTAGACGACAAATAATTTTCAATATAAATACACTGGCGCTATCAGGTGTCTTTGCCAACTATGATAATAGGAAATTCTAACAACGACGAAGGCGACAGCAACGAGAACGTCAAAAAAAAACCATTAGGTTTATCGAGCAAAACAACAAGTTTGCTTTTGTGTACATTTCTTTGCCTTTGTGCTCGACTACGACGTGACAATACCTAATTTTACGTTGTATAGGGGATTTTAGTTGCTGAAAAACTCTATATTTTGCAAGATCGGCGAAAATATCTGTCTTCAGTAAAATCCAACTAGTGGTCTGTTATCAGTGCTGCGTTCTGATTGGTTGAGCTACTACTAGGCTATATGTTATAGCCCAACAGTAGCGAAAAGCGCCGGCTTTGAAAACCAAAACAATGGCGGCTGAATGGTGTTTTGCTAGCTAAAGTTGTTTTGTCTCGAAATTTTTGACCAACTAGTTGGATTTTACTGAAACAATTATTCCAGTACCCATTCGGGCTCGAGGAATAATTGTTAATTAGAAAGGGTGAAAACGGTTTTAGCTTTGCCGCATAAGATTAAACTCTCTTTCCTTTTCACCTGTTTGAAGTCTTTTCGTGAGTTTATACACGGTACTCGCTGTCAGTAAATTTTTCAAAATGCTGCACTTCAGCTACGATTTCTTAGGTAAAGCTATTCTGCTTCTCAAGGATTTTAAGAGACTCCTCAGTTTTTTAACCAATTTTACCGGCAAGAGAACGGGGTATACAATTAACCAAAATATAATTCTTTGGTGTTAGAAAGTATGGGTACGAAGACGAGAGTGAAAAAAAGCAAAATATAGATTATGTTTTATAAACAGATAAACGTAAACACTTAATAACCTTTCTACATGTCTCTTGAAGTCTGGAACTTCCTTCAAAGGGTGATATTTGAACGCATGTCACCGAGACCAAAACAAACAAAGTTTTCAGTATGGATTAATCAAGAGGTTAAATTTGGTAGTAGAAACATTACGGAAACACAAAGGAAGACATATTTTAATAAGCATTGTTTAAGTTAAGTTAGGACTTCTTTTCAAAGGAATTCCAATTCTAACGTTTCCCGCATGTGGCAATCCGTACCGTTAATTTGAGTAACGTTCCTTTGCTTATTACATACCTGTCACATACATAGAATTACATTCTTTATTGAGACTCCCTTCAACAGGGCTTTTCAATGTTAACTATTACATGATGTAATAATGTTGTGTTGCATGTTAACTATTACATGTTGACTATTACAACGATGGAATTCCCAAGGACTTGTTTTCGTGCAGTTGCGATTCGCTCGACCCCGCAATAACACTTCTTAAGCACTTCGGCCCTGGTGCTCTTATGAGTAAACTGGACCTCTCTGCATGACGCCTTTCGCCACGTCCTTTTTCATGACGGGGACTGGGAACTACTCGGATGCACATGGCCGGTGAAGATTGATGGTACCGTTGTTACTGGTTATTTCTTTGACACTTTTTGTCCTTTTGTTCTTCGGAGTTCGACCGCTCTATTTCTAAAATTCGTCGACGGGCTCAAGTTTGTTATGTCATTTCTGGACTTGCGGCCCGCCTTCTCCTTCTCCACACTGCCAGAATTCGCTTGATGTTAAGCTGAGAACGTGCGATGAGCTTGGTTTCAAAATCAACCCTGATAAAACAGTTCAACCGAACATGAAC